TTAAAGGGTATGGCTTGATTGGCTGTCTAAATCACGTGATCAGAGAGCCATTTTAATTCACTATTGCATCTAATAGATATAGTTTTATAACGTACCCAGATAACAAAATGCGCGCACAATGCTCTCACAGTGCATTCACGCGTGCAAGATTATCCGCACGCGTGAGTGTCATGCGCATGACAGTTGTGTCCTCATTTGAATACAATATTGCTCTCACGCATGCGGACGCGCACGAAAAAAAAAAATTAGATTTCTTTCTCCATTATTTGTGTCCTCCCCTTAAGTGCTGAACTGACTAATAATACCTAGGAAAAAACTTTTAAGCCTGATAGGATTTGAGAACTCGTGACTCGATCCACGGTCCAGTTCTGAGTCGTTCACCTAACGTACTGCTCCACTGTTACCTTATTGACAGAGATGTTTCGAATGGTCTATATATACTTTTAATAAAACTATTTTGGTACTGTTCATTTTGTCTCTCGGGAGCTGCTCGGAGTTGCTCCGAACAAACCCAGTGTACTTGGATGTGATTCATTTAATGTTGTAAATACCTCGAAACATTCTTTGATTGATCAATACGTAAAATTCTTTCTTCTGATTGATCAACGAAGCATTTGCAGCATTAAATGAATTGTATCCAAGTACGCTGGGTTCGTTCGGAGCGACTCCGAGCAGCTCCCGAGAGATAAAACGAACAATACTTTTGTCTACTTAAACAGATTATTTTGTTAAAATTATTAAAAGAACACTTATTTTGTAATGGCAACAAAATTTTACCTTGTTATTTACAAAAAGTAAGTAAGCAAATAAATTTGTATCGTTAAATAAAAAAATTTACAATATTTTGTTCATTTAACAAAAAAATTGTATTTTGTTATTTTAACAAAATAATTCAATGATAATCAGCTCGGCGTATGATAAGATGGTAGAAAGCGAGCGATTTTTATTACCGCATGCATGAACGCAACATGAATGCGCTTTTGCACGCACGTATGATGATCATGCGTGAAGGTAACGTGAATTTTATGTAAATTATGTTCCTTCACGCATGACTCATGTATAATGCTACCTTTTACGCACGCACTCGTGCTTCTCTCACTTAGTGAGAGTAACATGAGTGCGTTATTGCACGAACTCATGACAATCATGCCGTGAGAGTAATATGAGCGCTCACCAATTGTTGGCTGTCTTCCCATAGTCCCTTTACCAGTCAGTAAAATAATATTACTAGGGTGACGTCATCTTACTGACTGGAGAAGTGTTCCCATTCTCGCCAGTAAAAAGTGACATCAGGATTTGTTGCGTTTCTATGCCCTACGCTTTCTACAGTTTTCGTTTCATATTACAGTTTCATTTCATATTTTCGTCATCAGTGATCTTCATTGAATAGGTAAGTAAATAATATATATTCCATGTAGCAATGTTTACTTGCAACTCTGTAATATTTCGGTACCCATGTCTTAAAATAATTGATCCCGGCGACTAAAGAGGTTAGACAACGATTTCGTTCCGGTACCGAAATATTACAGAGTTGCAAGTAAACATTGCTACATGGAATATATATTATTTACTTACCTATTCAATGAAGATCACTGATGACGAAAATA